TCTGGAGCTGATGAGTGCGAGTATAACGCTGATGCGTATATACCGCGACTGGAGCTGATGAGTGCGAGTATAACGCGGATGCGTGTATACCGCTGCTGCCACCGCCGCTAGTACCACCGCCGCTAGCTGCGTGTCTTCCGCAGCCTCTGCGTCTCCTCGGTCTTCTTCTTCTTTTCTTCTTCTTCTTCTTTCAGGAGATGTAGTGTGAATCGTGAGTTGTACCGAAGTGACCGCGGCTCGGATTCTGGTGCCCCTTTATACTCAGAATGGGTTTCGGACCTCTCTTCCCCAACTTGATTGACCTTTAGGAATAGAGTTCCCCCACTCCGCTGTGTTCTCCAATGAAAGGCTTGTRTTTTAGTGAGACTTAGAGAAGCACAAAACTAGGTAAAGCACCTACTATGCATCGCTGCTTTGTTGAAACAAGGCTATTCACAGAACACTTCCACAGCACACTGYAACTCATGCCTTTCGTTGCGTGCTACGCAAGAGGCACTTAAGTGATGAACTTGCAATTTTATCACTATTTGATGATACCGTTCCATTAAACATAAAGAAGAATATTGTCGAAGCTGTTAAGACTCGCGAAGGTACAGATTCTAAAGCAAAAAGATTTATAATTGATAAAAAAAATTTAGATTCAATTTTGCAAAAAAACATAAGTGACTTTGTTTCTAAGAAGTCATTGAAAATTTTTGAGCTCTTTGATCTGCCGTATGATTTTCTTGGCAAAAATATTGATATATGGTCTACTGATGACAGTTATAATGAAAATGAAGAATTTTTCGCACAATTGTAAATTGTTAATGATGTGGCAGAGCGAAGTGTCGCATTAGTAAGTGAATATAACAAATGCTTAACAAAAAACGAAGAGCAATTTCAATTTTTATTGCAAGGTATTAAAGAGCATCGAGAAAATTACCCTACTTGCGACAAAAAATTGTTTAAAAATTAATAACTCAGTTGAAAATTGAAATGAAAAACTTGTTTATAACTAATTGGACATTTTTTTTCTCTAAAACTGAAACATATAATATATTTATAATGAAAACTTTGCTTATTTTATTAATAAATAATTAACTAAGCGATAAATAATGTACAATTTATTTTTTTAAATGTAGACAAAGATACTTACACATAAAAAAAAACTTGAAAAATATTTCGAAGCTTCTCAGTTGATAAAATCTAAAATTCGTGTAAATTTCTTCAAAACTTATAAATTAAATTGAAATTTTTCGAATATCTTATCAAAAACTTTTGAAATTAGTACACATGAAAGTTTGATGATAAATATCTTTTGAACGCTTAATTTAATCGCCAAAACATAAGACACTATTTTTATAGAGCAGTTAATTTCCTACAAAAATTTGTATTGCTCATTTTTTAATAGTCATTTATTATACATCACTTTTTGCACTTACACACCAATCCGGCTCAAAGGACCAAAAATGTATAATATTGAGTTGAGAAAAGAGAGCAAGACTCTGGAAATGGTGTGTATGTGAGGATGAATTAATAAATTATAGGTTATTACACTGACGAATGGTATTACACTACTCTTTATATTTTCACTAATTTATTAACTCAAAACAAAAAGCGCTATCAAGAAGTAAATTGTAATAATTATACAATTATTAATTATCGACAAGGATGCTTTGATAGTTAAAGCAATAATAATGAATTTGTGCTTTATAATAATAGTAATTGGAAAGAAGTAAGTTAATGACGTTAGGCAACACGTCTAGCAGTTAGGCACTACAAGAGGCGACTGCCGGTGCGACGCACATAGCGTGATGTTATTAAACCGCGACCTTCCTACAACGAGCGATGCCCATAATATTTGCGTTTAGCTCGATCAGTTTATTACTCAAGTCGTGCAAATGGCTCGAAGGCCGTGCGAACTTGTTTACGTTTTTGGTCCAAAATTCTCAAACATGAATCGTAGGTTAAGGCTACATTATAACTATATCTATATACTAGGGTGCCCCGGCCACGCGTTGCTGTGGCTTTTTTTGAGGTGAAAACTTTTTCATAATCAGATCGATTTAAAAATCGTTAAATGAAAGAACGTAAAACTGATAAAACAAAGATAATTTATTAATTAATAAAATTCAGTATATAATTTTTTATTCCAGACAAAAAATAGCTTACTCCTTGTAAGTATGTATGTATGTTAGAGTGTGTATATTGTATGTATGTAAGAATGTGGTATATGCGTGAAATAAGCAT